ATTATTTCCGATGTGTTTTCAAAATTTGGCGACTGAAGGGGATTTCTATGCTTCGGGCTTTAGACATATAATACCAGAATAGACATATAATTTAGACATATAATTTAGACACATAATTTAGACACATAATATCAGAATTTACTGTAAACTACTAAACTAGCCATGAGAAATACTTCTGTTTTACGATGCGTGACGTCACTAAACTAGTATGCGTGACGTGCGTGTTGTCACATCATGTGAGGTACTTGCATACTTCGTTATTTTCAGATGCGTTTAACACGCCGAGGTTTTGGGTTTGGGCAGTGTTGGGGGGGGGGGGGGGGGGGGGGGGGGTGTGTAGCGGGTTAGTTAGTTACGCACAGTGTTAACCAACACATACTGTTTAGAGTTTAGAGTTAACTAGCTAGCCAGGATTACACCACAACACAGAACCAGTAATACCCGCAATATGTTCATTATATGCAAGCCTCTTGATTTATATATCAACTGTATATAATGAGGAATAGTTTTGCGACGTGTCGTGACGTGCGTGATATTTAGTGTTTTGTATAGTTACATATTAGTAACAATTAGTTACATATTATAGTGGTGTTGGCTTGTTTCGGAGGGTGTATCCGATCTTTTATTAGCTTAGACTCTTATATAAGCTCAAGTAGCTTATATAAGGATGAATCTTTCAGCTGAAACTTTTTCTCTGCTTGAAAGGTCATAAACGTCAAACATTCAACGACAGACTTTGTTTCAATTTTAATTACATCAAACCGTCCATATGACTGTAACAGTGTAACAATGTGACAGTTTCTCTCATTCCAGCTTGAAACAGACTGGAGAATGGCTCGTTGACCCTCCTCGTGTTGTTTCATATGTTGCTAGAAACCCAATTCATCAAATTACATGGGGATCAAAACATGTGGGGGCTTGAAGAAAGTCTTACATGGGCATTATCATGTGGAGCACCATATTTGTTTTGACACGTTACTGTGATCCTGGCTATTCATTGGCCAACACTGGAATTGTTCCGTCCCTCGTGACGTCAATTACCATGCCAACCGGGGGTCCACTAGACCTTGGTGTGAATGGTAGAGCCTCTCTCGTCGTCATACCTTCAAAAGTAACACTAGGTTGACCTTGCTGAGGAGTAACCCTGCATACCTGTGACCAGTGAGCTTGCATACCAGCGCGTGCCAGAGCGTCGTAAGGACTGTGAAAGAAGTGCGGTTGTTTGCAAGTAGAGACAAGGGACCGTTACCTTGACCACCAGGTTGCTATAGGAGACAAGGGATCGCTACCTTAACCACCAGGTTCGGCCAAGTTATTCAAACAGGTCAGTTATTTTGTTGTTTATCCGCTGTTTAGTTGTAGATTTAAACCAAAAAAGGAGATTTTTATACCACCATGATTTAAACTATGATTTTATTTAATAGTTGCACGTACTCAAGAAAGATTATTTATTTTGTAATCAATTTGTAATCGTTTAGTGAAATTATTAAATTAGAAGCCCCCAACCATATCGTTATAATAACGATCATCCCTTAAAAGCCAGTAACGGTTCTTTTGCGATAGTGTAAACGCGATAGCTAGCTCCATCCAGCGACAACTAGCGCTAGTTGTCGCCATCCAGCTAGCTATCGCGTTTACACTATCTCAAATGAACCCCAGTACTACTTACCACTACTTACCACTACTTACCACTACTTACCACTACTACTCCATGTGTAGCAGGATGAGGATACTATCAGGATATATGGTGGTAATAACAGTGACAATAGCACTCCTGCTACTTTACACAGATAACGGCTTATCAGAAGCGTATATATCAGATTCTAGGAGAAGAAGTGCCAGTAACGTTTACTCGTAAGGAAAGTTTTAGTAATATGACACATTTGAAATTGACACGTGACAGTAATTCTGAGATTTGATTGGTCGATGCTGGAAGCTGATTGGTTAGTCGCTGTCACGTTTCCCCACCAGATTACCAAAATCAAGATCTAGTAACCAGTTTCCAATTTGTGACAGATAATCACTCAACCGTTGCATACTCGATTACTAGCTGGTTACTAGGTTACTAGCTGGTTACTAGGTTACGAGCTTGTTACTAGGTTACTAGCTGGTTACTAGGTTACTAGCTGGTTACTAGGTTACTAGCTGGTTACTAGGTTACTAGCTGGTTACTAGGTTACTAGATGGTTACTAAAGTCACGTGATTCCACCCAGTGACCGACGGAGATCATCCTACTATGATCTCTCCAGGCGGCGGTCCTCAGATTCCAGGAAGCGGTCAGACTCTGCTCCTCCTCCTGGTGCGACAAGTTACTCTGACTCGAGAAGACGGTCCACTCACACTGACTCCCGGATACGAAGCACCGACAAATCGTTAGTTACATTTGAAGCTAGGATCCCTGTTTTATTTCTAGAAAAAAAAGGGTAAAATTTATGTCAGCAATGGATAATATTATCTTTTTGGACCATTTTGGCCCCATTTCACAATATTCAAAAGTATCCAGATATTCTGTAAATTCCTCTGTAAATTCCTCTGTAAATTCCTCTGTAAGTTCCTCTATAAACACTAACAGTCCCAATTTTCACCTTTCAGTTTTGGAGAGAGGAGAAGATTGTCCTACGACAGCTCAACCAAAAGAATAAACTACGATGATACCGAACATGCTTTAAATCCAGTGCAAGTACTGGGCCTAGGCATAGGAATACCCGTTACAATATTTGCTTTCTGGATATTATGCTGTATAATTAAGATGTGCCAAACAGATCCAGCGCAGCACAACCCCGCTCAATCCTCCCAGCGTTACTCAAACCTTTGGTTTAGCAGAGCTTATGGTTTTGAACCGGATCCAAGTACGGATCCAAAGATCACAGTAAGTGAATCAAACTCCACACTATCGGATAGAGATGAACCTGATAGTGACGTCACAGAAGATAAAAGTGACGTCACAGAAAGTGATCTGCTAAAACCAAATGGGGTGCATTCCACAAAGCAGCCACCGTCTTATGCGGAGACAAGCTTCACAGAGCCCACAGATCAGGGGACTTCAGAGAGAAGTGACGTCACAGAGAGGCGTGACGTCACTAAAAGAAGTGACGTCACAGATAAAAGTGACGTCACAGATGCTTCTCCTCCACAGCCAGGATATAAGAAACCTTCAACACAGATCTCGGATATTGACGATGGACCGCCTTCTTATAATAAACTATTTAAGTCTTGAATTTAGTGGAGAGATGAGACTGAAACTCATTAATGGAATTCTAAATCATACACTTGTTTTTTATTGAAGTAGCTTTGAGGATTTTTTGGATATTTTCTAAGGTGTTCGAGCCCTCCAATCACCATATTAACAATATACGTCTATTTCACTAGTGTTCGGACACTACCCATACGTTCCCACTTGTGTTGAAGATTACTGTATAAAACGTTTTCTTTGTTGATAAGTAACGGAATATAACATTAGATCAGGCATTTATATCTTCAAATTTTGCAATCAGGACAAACGCTGAACCAAATTTTAATCCAAAAGATGCGAATATAATAATATTTTCATATCTTAATTGAAATAAAACCCATCACCAAGATAGAATGAGAACAACAGAATGGCTGTTAGTGATGACAGTGATAACAGCAATCCTGCTATTCTACTCAGATAATAGCTTATCTGAAGCTGTCACAGAACCCAGTGGGAGAAGCAGCAATTATTATATACAGTACGATAATTTATTTGTAAGAAATTTAAATTGGAGTAATATGTTTCGGATCTGAAAGTTATGTCTGAGTTTTATGCCAAGAGTCCTAAGTCCTTGTACTTGTAGTTGTATTGAATTTCCAGATTAACGCTAACATCATAGATATACTCCTTGAAACTTTAAGATTACTATACCACTCATATTCTTAACCCTGTTCAATCAGGGACAGACGACCATCTGGCCGGTACGACTCGCGGCGACGCTCACGGAAGTCTCACTACAACTCGAGAAGGAGGTCTCCACAACAGCAAGGCTGGAGACCACCTAACTCAGAAAAGGACCCCAGAGAGGGAGCACTTCACCTGGAGACCTCGCTGATGATACTTCTAGGGTTGTTTACTGGAGTGTGTTTACTGTTTGTTTCCTTTAAATGGCTCTGCACGGACTACGAGGAGTCGGATGAGTATGATAGTCCAGTTCCCGCACATCACATGCCAGTTAGAGATCCTCCGCAAGCAACCCGGGCCCCTCCGCAAGCAACCCGGGCGGCTAAACTGACACGGTCCTCAAGCCTTCCAGCAGCCAGTGCCGCTAACAGGGCAGGCAAAAATGTGCGGTTCTCGGGGAGTCTCAAAGAAGATGTTACTCGTGACTCCGAGCTACCGGGCCCTTCTGGCATCGATACCACTGCACATTGATGTGATGCTTTGCACCTTGTACGCATTTCATTGCCATCGTGAATCACCGGTAAAAACTAATCCAGTGACGTACAACGGAAGCCCTGAAGGGCGCCCTCAGAGGATTGTGCCAGTTTGCTGATTTTCCCTTTATTTTGAGAGAACAATTATATTTTTATAGCATTGGAAATTTGTATTTTATACATAGACTTTGTAATTAAACTTTGTACATAGATCTATAAATAGAATTTGTACATTATTTGATATCATGTGAAGCAGTATCTAAATACTATTATAATTACATCAATAAGTTGACTATTATAGCTGAGGGCTTTGTTTACGTTACCTGTTTTATAAACGTTTTATATTCAATTTTGATACGGATTCAAACGTGCGATAAATGCATGAATTTATGTGTTTATTTGTAATACATAATAAAATATACATACATTTTCATAATATATTATTCGAGCGATTACCAGTTTTAGTTATAAAGCACTAACCCAAGTAGCCAACTTAAAAGGTAAGTTGGTACCCAATACCCAAATTCTCACAAAAACCCCTCACAAGACCCCTCACAAGACCCCTCACAAACCCCTTACAAAACCCCTCGCAAACCCCCTCACTACTCACAGCGTAAGCGTGACATTCAACAAGGCCGGTCCTATCGCACTCCTCCTTGGAGAGAGCTCCTGTAGCCACCGTCATCAGGACATCTCCCGTCCTGTGTCCATCCAGCATTCCTGACATACCATGTGTTAATCAATCAATTAATTAATTAATTAATTACAATAATTAACTTAATTTACAAATGCATCGGTATGTTTTGGAGGATTTATTTGTGAAAATGATAGTTATACCTTGGGGGAGCGACCCATAAAAAGTTTTCTTTGTACAATAAAATATGTAAACTATATATTTTGTGTACAATTCTAAAAAAGCTCTAACAACAGTAGACTCACGAAGATAAAGACTGTCAGTTATCTTAGTTTCAGTTCTCTTGACATTCACCCGCTCCGGTATCCAGCCAGTAAGCGCTGTTAGATCCACGTTGCTGGAGGAACCCGGGAAATCGTACCCTCCCATCACCTGGAGAATTAGTACATTAGTACATTAGTACATTAATACAGGGTTCGCCAAAAGTCAGTGGGCATACATTGGCCTTAATAGCTCCACCATGTTTTATATTTGAAAGCTGTTGCTTTGCAGATGGCATACTGTATTTACTGGTTCGAGGATTCCGGCGTCAAAATTTGAAAATTCGAATATTTTAGACCACGCCCATTCAATATTAAAACACCTATACTGTTTTCTCTGAACATGTTGAACGCCTAATTTTTTCAGAGACGGTAGAGTATTAAATGTTGCATATGATCTGAAAAGATGAGGCAAAACAGATTAGAAATGACGAAGTTATCAAGCATTTTCTGTATCTCGTTAAAAAAATTGACTGGGCGATTATGTGGTTAACGGGTGGTTAACGGGTTCATCTAATCACGTGATTAGGTAAACCAATCACCTGATCACACGTAATGAATAAACGCGTTATGCTTCATATCTCGGTCATCTGAGAAGCTACAGTTCTAATTTTTTTAAGGACAAACGTAATTCGAATGGCCAAACACAATTCAATAAAATTTAGTTCGATCCGACTATCCAAACTATCAAATAAATGCAAAAATGAACCTTCATTTGAAAAAAATGATCCCGAATATTTTTCGATTTAACAAATTCCTCGAACCAGTGGTACAAATTCCTCATACCAGAAAGAATTATTTCAATTGGGCAATCAGTGACTGAGCTATTAAGGCCAACGTATGTCCAGTGACTTTTGGCCCACCCTGTACATTAGTACATTAGTATATTAGTACATTAGTACATTAGTACATTAGTACATAAGAGCATTAGTACATTAGTACATTAGTACATTTGTACATTAGTACATAAGAGCATTAGTACATTAGTACATTAGTACATGAGTACATGAGTACATGAGTACATTATTACATGAGTACATTAGTACATGAGTACATTAGTACATGAGTACATTAGTACATTAGTACATTAGTACATTAGTACATTGGTTATAAACACGAACTTCTCCGAAATAGTCAAATAATAGTTAGCGAAAAAATGTTAAAAGTTTAGCAACTTCAGCTCTTTATAATCTCACTTTTTTGTTTGGAGCAAATTAAAATCATGCACATTTTTCGGGATTAAACCCAAAAACCATGAACTTTTTCATGATCAAAGTCCGGAGGCCATGTATCCCTACCTTGAGATAAGCCTTCTCGAGGAGTGACATGTATCCCTACCTTGAGATAAGCCTTCTCGAGGAGTGACATGTATCCCTACCTTGAGCTATAGTTACAGTTGTTAGGTTACAGTTGTTAGGTTACAGCTGTTAGGTTACAGTTGTTAGGTTACAGTTGCTAGGTTACAGTTGTTAGGTTACAGTTGTTAGGTTAAAGTTGTTAGGTTACCTTGAGATAAGCCTTCTCGAGGAGTGACACCCAGAACTCGCTCTTGTTGGAGCTGTAGGAACACAGCAAATCTCCGTGTCTATCCGTGGGGAGGTAGTCGTCTATAGTAACCTGTAAAATGTTTAATAATACAGTGTTGTTTATATGTCACCTGTGACAGAGGGAGTTGTTTATAATTTGTAGTGTCCCTTTATTTCTTTCATTCTTAAATTAAATTGTGCTGTTTTTAATTGCAAGCTATCATTCGGGCGTCACGTACAGGTGACTAAACAAATCCTCCTTCCGGTGTGTGCGTACAACATAAAGTTTACATGTTACACGTTACACGTCACACGTCACACGTCACACGTCACACGTCACACGTCACACGTCACACGTCACACGTCACACGTCACACGTCACACGTTACACGTCACACGTCACACGTCACACGTTACACGTTACACATCACACGTTACACGTCACACGTTACACGTTACACATCACACGTCACACGTCACACGTCACACGTTACACGTTACACGTTACACGTTACACGTCACACGTCACACGTTACACGTCACACGTCACACGTCACACGTCACACGTCACACGTCACACGTCACACGTTACACGTTACACGTTACACGTTACACGTTACACGTTACACGTTACACGTTACACGTTACACGTTACCTTTCTATAGACTCCATTTAACCAGAGTCGGACGACGTATTTCCCGCTTGGATTTACAACTGGGAAGCCTTTCCTGAAATATATGAAAATCATAAGAGAAATATATGAGGACTAAATTCAGTTCCCCTTTTCTTTACCTTTTCCTTTCTTTAATATTTTTTTTTAAACACAAATTGTCGATCAGTAAACAAGCAGATAAGAAACACGCCTACAGTTGCAGTCCACCATGGTGGCACCACGGTGGCACCATTTACTCACGCCTGGAGACGTCGAGACTGTAGCCGTGTTTCTTATCTCTTTGTTTGGTGATTGACAATTTTTGGTTTTTTAAATGATGCGCTACAAACCTATTCTGGGGGTAGATGATATTGGTGACGATCTACAAACCTATTCTGGGGTAGATAATATTGGTGACGATCTACAAACCTATTCTGGGGGTAAACGATATTGGTGACGATCTACAAACCTATTCTGGGGGTAGATGATATTGGTGACGATCTACAAACCTATTCTGGGGGTAGATGATATTGGTGACGATCTACAGACCTATTCTGGGGGTAGATGATATTGGTGACGATCTACAAACCTATTCTGGGGGTAGATGATATTGGTGACGATCTACAAACCTATTCTGGGGGTAGATGATATTGGTGACGATCTGGGTCTTGAACCGCCTCTCAAAATGTGCGCTAACCGCGAGGGACGCTACAAAAGAGCAGTCTGATACGACAGTCTGACGTATACTGAAGGCGGACGGGAGTTTCACTATAGCTGGCTCCTCTGCTATTTCTGTTATTCTCTTCCAACCTGAATTACGGAGATTATCTACAATTCAATTAGTAGATTGTTAATAATTTAAGTTTAAATAATTTAAAATTTAATTTAATAAATATCAAAATTCCAATTTCCATTCAACGACCAATCATATTGATCAACATGTTCGCACTGTTCTACTAGCGATTGCGGATACAGTGAAAATATCGTTGTCTTACCCCCAAAATGCTTTTTCTGTTTATCTGCCAAGCCTAGGTTTCCGTTTTTATCGGTGAACTTATCGATGTAGTAAAATTTGTCAAATCTGCAAGAATAAGTGGCTGTTGTAAATGGTATTAAAGAGAATTGTTACAAATTTTATACCGCATTTCTATTAACACACATCCCAACTCGTTCCTTTTCGCCACCTTTACGAGAAATAAAGTAGAACTCAAAAAGCCCAACATTTTTTTCGTAAGTGAACGAGGACCGAAATACACAACAACCTCACCCAAAACTTACTTATTGTACTAATACTACTACTAATACTACTACTTATTGTACTAATACTATTACAACTGACCTATCTGAATCCATCCAGGGTAAGAACAGCTGTTTATTAATGTAAGAGGACTTCTTGAGAAGTTCTACTTCCTCCGGTTTCAGCTTCCTGATAACACTGGTGTGGTCGGTAGAGTTGGATCCGGGGGTTATTTCTGGGGGTGTTTCGTCAGAAACTCGGGGAACTTCTTCTCTCCGTGATATCGTGGGGGGCGCTGACTCTGGTGAGGGTGAGTAATATGAGATATTGTTAGCAAATTAATAAAGTTAGTTAAGCAAATTTAAGTTAATTTAAGTTAGTTCAAATTGTATCAAATTGAGAGCAGTGCATCTAGTTTGTTTTATATGAAGTATCAAGTACGAAATAATGCGGTAGGAGTGATATCAAGTAACAGTGACACACCACTGACATTGTTCAGGATACCTCGTTTAAAGAAAAATCTACTTTTAACGGGAACATGACATTATATCTTTAAATGCTATTATTGCTCAGCAATGGGTACGGTTTGCAGTTTAGATAGCCATGTGGCACGCTGCAACTAAATTATTCGAGAAATTCTTCTCGAATAATTTTCAAGACTTGATGTCAATTTATTATCGGAGAAAAATACGATTTATGAAATTATTCATGGATCAACAACAGTTCGTCGACGACAGTACTAGCGAATGACCGATTTTGGTTAATTTTTTCTTTTAAAAAAAGTGGTAATCCTACCACTCTCGCTGGAGGAGCCCACGTAACCGGTATCATTACTAAGCGTGTTCTTTTCCTTCTCTTTTGTCTCCTCCTGTATTACACCTGTCAACTCTTCTGCTCTGAGGAAAAGTTACGTAAATTGACATTAAGTAAGTTAGATTCGTAAGCAAAGTTTCGGCCATTTTATTTGTCCACCTCCGTAAGCTGCTTTACACAAAACTATTGAGTAGCAATTACACTAGTGTAGGAATTTAAGAAGTCTTCCTCCTAGATTGGCTTACGTAATATGTTAACGATTCTCAATGGCTTTGAAGGTACCAGTTATATCATTAATAAGGAAAAACACAATGATTATCTGTGGTTTCATCCTTATGTAGCAAAGAAACGTTTTATAAATCTTTACTCCACTGGGAAGTATGAATAAATTACATTTTTTAATGTTGTTGTTATTCATGATTGATATTTGATAAATTATTACTTTTAAATTTGATGGAGAAATAGTTTACTGTATATTTTTCCATGTAGTGCAATGATATTTTGTATACATTAGTGATAGTGATGATGTTATGTCATAATTTTTACTTTACTTTACTTTACTTTACTTTGAAGAAATACTTGTGTTTGAATAATACTTTAATTTCAAATCTCTTCTGAGAGAATCACATAGAAGACTTAATCCCTTTAAAACCAGCAAGATTTTAAATTACCTGTGTAAACTCTGGTCAGCTCGGAGACTGAGCTTCTGAATAGTGGACTGCATGCTGACGTTCGATCTCTGAAAACGTGAATATCAGTGACAGGCTACAGGTATGTAATTTAAAATTTTTTTAGAAAATTAAGATCATAATCCTGAAGATCCCTGTGTCATTCATGATTCACTACATGACAGACACACTTGAGGTTTTTTACTAATTTTTCGATACATTTTTATTTTTCGCGCGCGCAATGTTTTCGGATAAGATGTTGCGCGAGTATTTGACAATTTATGACAAAGCGCGTTCCAGATTCCTCAAACAGTAGACCCTTTCCGGGAAACTTTCAGAGGATGTATTCTCGGTTTTTGTGCCGCAATTTTAGTCACAACTTTTAAAAGTGATGGTTTAATTTAGATATAATGTTCTAGGTTTACCTTTATAGCAAATACTGTTATCATTACATACCAAACACATACGTAGAACCACTCAAAAACGGTCAGATATAGATGGGGCCAATGCAAGCGTGCCGCAAATGTGCCACAAATATTGAGAATACATCGCCTCCAAACTTTCCAATATTAGCGACAAGCAACCATGAACCATCTTTGGAGAGCTTCAAAATTTGCATTTGTATCTGGAAACGATTTAAGAAATGCTGATAGCTTTGCTTTAAATTTTTAAATAGCAGATGGTCTCCAATGGGGTAAAGCTATGATAGTGTTCCATAAACGTGGCCGGTGGCCCCATTACTGCAAATGAACCATCATACAATGCCTGTTGACGTTGAGTAATAGACTCAAGCCAGCGTTTATTGTGGTTAAAAACAACTGAGAACATATTTAGTCTTATCGCATTGTACTTCATTGAAGTTATCAGAATGATACACTCTCCCATACTTATGATTGTGCAGAATTTGTATCCAGTAAACTTCAAATTTTAGTGCTTATTGTGTGATTGAGAAATAGAACACTTCAAGAAATGTGCAGATCACGTTTCGTTAATTAACTGTACTGTTTGCTAAATATAACTTCTTCACAATATCATGATACAATGCGGATTGCGAAATCCAGAAGCGAATTTGAGAGCTTCCATCTAAAATATATTTAGGACATATAATACATATATTAGATGATGGCAGTAGGTACAATACGTCAATTCTGTATTGATTTAAACTTTCTCACACCCCATAATGAGAAACATAGTCTACGATAATTCGCCAAAACATCATGTTATTCGTGTTGATCTAAACTTTTAATCTGGAATAGGAGAGCCATTTGAATAGGAGAGCCATTTCTGTTATTAAGTTCACGGTACGGTATGTATTTTTTATTTTAGGGTAGAGTATACTATTGCGTCAGTTCTCAGTATCCTGTGGGATTTGGTTTCGGAATTCGCCGAAATGCGAATACTGTGTTCTGATTGGTTAGTTTGTGTCAAGTGTCGTGTATGATGTGCTCTGATTGGTTAGTTTGAAAATGAAATGCTGATGCGCATTCCATTTTCGCACAGTAACATAGTGTATGATTTCTGATGGTGGTCTGAAAATTACTAATATTGCTGATGTAATATGGGAACGGTTTGTCTTATTAATGCTTTTCATACAAAGTTACAACAAAGTCTTCATGTTATGTATCCTGGATTTGGACAGGATATTACCCGTTTAAAATATTTCCATCACGTTACATAATTCTCAATAAATGTAATAGATTTGTAGTGTTGTAATTAGTTTAAAACTCTTAGATCTTTAGCTTTTCCTAATTCTAATCATAAGTCTCTGAGAATGTTTGATATTTTACAGTTCAATACTATCGAAGGACACCTGCGAAATATTTTCTCCAGCAACTACCAATGTGCGCTGGGTAATTGCAAGATAAATGAGCATCAGTAAGGTAAATACCACCTGGTCTGTTGCTGATTGAAAAGTTTGAGATAATACGAAATCAATTCCCTGTCTACTTTCTAACACCTTGTAGCGGGTATATAGTGCAGTTACCGTGGCTTTATTTGTGGTCATTGTACATATACCAACCAAACGTTGAGAAAGTGTAACTCCAGTTGGGGATACAGGGGGATTAGGACCCCTATAAATCAACATCCTCAATAAATGTAATAGATTTGTAATGTTGTAACTTGTAATTATTGTAACAATTTGAAATAGTTAGTTTTGTTTCTTGGAATCTTATTACCTTGCAATCTTTAGTCTGAACGACATATACATGTATAAACTGTATGGCATGGGTGATTTATTTTTGGGCGTTCTTTAAAAAATATGTTTATTTTACTAGCCCAAATACATCGTCTACTCCAAAACTTAACTTTGAGTACCGAGCACACACAAATTCTGTTCGACTCTTGCCTTTGTTACATTTCTAGTTTCCGAGTTATTGCTGCATTGATATTTCCTTACTTCGTTGGGTTGTTTACTAATTTATCTTGGATATTTCTCCCCCTTTATTTAAATTTTGCATGGTGCTAATAGTCCGAGATGTATCTGAATAATCTCTACGATCTTCCTGGCCCAAAATACAAAAATACGAGTGACCGCGAAACCCTAGAAAGTGTGTCCCAAAACGTCCTCATGGCATTGAGTACAAAAATGCCATGAAGTTCAAATGTTTTAAGCATCATCTAGACAATTGATAACCGTCGAGAAATAGCTTTTAACACGAAAAGCTAACGAGATGGCCTTTTAGAACGGTTGGTTTCCGACTATAATTCAATAATAGATATTATTATTATTTACCATTCCCTTTTAGATAGCAGAATGGTCACCTCCACCAACTACACTGAGTATGGGATTCACAGCGCTGGAGAAAGGTGTCTCTGGGTCACCTGGCTGATGATTGTACTTCTATCCTCACTGATTGGAGACTCCATCATTCTGATAGCTTCAATTAGATACAATGCGATAAAACTAAACAAGTTCTTGGTAGTTGTGATGCAGCATATCGCAGTTTGTGACATTTTAGCGTCCTTAACCTACGTCCTCCCCACAATGATATCACTGATCGCTAACAAATGGGTCCTTGGAGATGCTTTAGCCTACATCATCGCATCCTTGGACCTAACTAGCTACACAGGAACAAGCATTCTTATATGCACCTTATCTTTTAGTAAACTACTGTTATTAAAGTATCCACTTAAACTTAATTATTGGACTCTGAAAAATGCCCATATAACGTGCTCCTTAGCGTGGTTTCTTGCTGTTATTTTTCCTGTAATTCGTTTGGCATTTGATGAAAATGGACTTGCATTCAGTTATCTTGAGTATAACATGAACTATGGTCTACCTAACGAGAAAACTTCAAAGACAAATGAAGTTATTATGCATTCCATTTTTGTAATGACAGTTTACATCCCAACACTTTTAGTCATTCTCACAACGATGGGCACGTTGTTCTATTTGGTGAAATCTATAAAAGTGGCAAGGCGGACTGGAAGTGATCAAAGATGGCAAGGAATCGTTATGGTGGTGGCTACAGCTGTAGTTTATTGTGTTTCTGTGTTACCAGGAAGTTTCTCTATTTTCTTAAAGCAACCTGACGACACGAACCTCAGAGATAGAATATTTGAGTCTTTGATAACGCTAAATATCATATGCAACTTCTATATCTACAGCCTAACAATTCCTAGCTTCAGACATTTCATTGCATCAAAAGCTCACCAAATATCAAGAAGGATGAAAGCACGATGCACTAAAATACATCAAGTAGAAAACTTGACATTAAACAACGTAACAGGAAATGCTTCACCTCGAACTACCCAAACCTCAGATATAATGTTAATATCGCAGTTAGGTAATTAAAACAATCATCATCGCCATATTGTTGTAATAAAGTGCTTTCTATGTTTTATAATACGATTAAATGAATGGTTTACACATTTATAATACTAGCAGGAACCCGTATAATATAACCCTAAACGGTGTCAAGACTCAAAAGCTCAAAATACTAAAATAATTATTACCTATTTAATTGGCGTTTTTGACACCACTTGGGGGTCCAAATTTTCGGCTCTAAAATCATTATTCCTTGGCCAATTTTTTATTTTTTCATGCTGATTTGAAGGCCATTAAAGCATTTGACCCAGCCAACAAAGTTCCAGTTGTATATCTTTTACGGTTTATGCGGAAAGTCGCGTTAAAGTTGATGCCGTGGTGTCAGTAAAATGGCACAGATATATATATATATCGTCTCGCTTTATATTATACTAGCAGGAACCCGTATAATATAACCCTAAACGGTGTCAAGACTCAAAAGCTCAAAATACTAAAATAATTATTACCTATTTAATTGGCGTTTTTGACACCACTTGGGGGTCCAAATTTTCGGCTCTAAAATCATTATTCCTTGGCCAATTTTTTATTTTTTCATGCTGATTTGAAGGCCATTAAAGCATTTGACCCAGCCAAAAAAGTTCCAGTTGTATATCTTTTACGGTTTATGCGGAAAGTCGCGTTAAAGTTGATGCCGTGGTGTCAGTAAAATGGCACAGATATATATATATATATCGTCTCGCTTTATATTATACTAGCAGGAACCCGTATAACCCTAAAATGGTGTCAAGACTCAAGAGACCAAAATAATTATTACCTATTTAATTCGCGTTTTTGACACCACCTGGGGTACCAAATTTTGGGCTCTAAAACTCCTACCTCTTGGCCAATTTTTTATTTTTTCATGCTGATTTGGAGGCCATTAAAGCATTTGACCCAGTCAAAAAATTTTCAGTTGTATGTATTTTACGGTTTTTGCGGAAATTTGCGTTAAAGTTGATGCCGTGGTGTCAGTAAAATGGCACAGATAAATATATTATATATATATATCGTCTCGCTTTATATATAGTAAGATAGTAAGATTATTATGAAAATATTATATAAATGTATATATAATATTATTTAATATTATTATGATAATATTGATACTTTACCGAGCCATTATTTCTTGTTTTGTTTTGCAGTATGATTGGAGCTATCTTTAATAATCTGATGATAAGCTATGTATTTCATTGACTTTAATTCTTTAGGATTGATTTGAATATTACAAAACATTTCTTTTATTTGATATACTTCATGAAAGTT